GGCGGGGGGGGGGGGGGGGGGGCGGGGGGTCCAGCCGGCAGGTGCTGCTGGCTGGCCAGGCGTTTCCCAGGGTATACGCAAGCATAATCCCCGGGGGCCTGCTGCAAAAGACCCCCTCCGCTCCCCGGGCAGCGTCTGCCTCGCGCAATGCTTTCATTCTTCTGTCGGGTGTTTGTCTGTTCCGTTAGGCCGAAAAACAGCAGAGCTCCTTGCCTGGCTCTGGGTGTCTGGCCAGGGCAGAGCACGTGTGTGTGATCCGAAACAGCCTGCATATTTCTGTCACAGCCCTTCCCTGGGCTTGCTCGTTCTGGGTCATTGATGGATGTACGAGTAGGAAGCTCAGAGGAAAAGGCAGCTGCAGCCTTGCGCGTGGCTTACTTCAGCAGTCAAAAGCATGAAGCGTTTTGAAAGCTTTATTCCGGGCGACTTTTACCAAAACATCAGTGCTGAGAGTGCCATCAGAAACGTTTGGGTTCTAGTTGTGAGACTTGGCTTTCCACAGAGCAGCCAAGTCTGAATTTCTGCTCCGGCACAGTATGACTGCAGCCTAAGGACAGGAATAGGGATTCCTAGAGTTGGGACGCAAAGAGGATTTAGCAGCTGATCTCAATCTGGGAGGTATTTTGTCATGACTAATACTACTGACTATGCAGACAGAAGTCACAGATCTTGCACTGGTGGAACTTTTTAACCGCTTGCTCTGGACGATGGGAGTGACTTGTGGGTTTTGAATTTCTGGCTGTGAAGAAAGTGTTGAGAGTCCTATAAATCACAAGCCAGCACGCGCGCTTGAGGCACAGGCATGTCAGAAAGCTCGCGGCACCTCAGAGGCACGGAGGAGTGGCATAGCAGAAGGAGTATATGAATCATGGTATCTTCCCCACTGCATTTCCTGCCTTGTGCCGGTCCGTTCAGGCTATAGTTATTTCTTGTAAGGTGACAGAGATGTGTAAATTTTGCTGTTGGGCTGCAAATAGGTATTTTCCTTGAACTACATCCCTACAGTTAGAGCGGCAGTCTCGTGGCTGCCATAAAGGGGGAGAGCAGAAACGCCTGGGAAACCAGATGCTGCAGAACAACTGGTTCCCATTGTGCAGGTTATGCTACTGGAGATTTGAAGGGCAGCTCAGATGCAGGTGAACAAACAACTCTTAATTCTCTAGCTGTCAGCGGAAAACAAGGCTCTGATTTTAACGACAAGGTTGTAAAGATGATGTGCTGACATACTAGTTTGTATTAACACTCTTAAGTCCCACGGTAACTTTCAAGAACAATTGCAGGCAGGCCTGGAGCTGCTGATACTGAGCTGTGGCGGCCGCTTTGTGCCGAGAACCCCGTGCTCTGCGAGGTTGTCGGTGGTGGAGATCTTCAGTTGTTCTGTCTAATGTCAGCGTCGTAGCTCAGGCAGCGCAGGGAGATTAGGAGGTTTCTGTGTTGCTAATGGTAACTATACCTTGGCTGCTAGTTTTCAGTGAATGTTAATCTCTACTATATCGCAGCAACTTCTGCGGAGTGACAGGGCAGGGACTGCAAAAAGAAAAAGAAAAGGGTAATTTGGAATGATGGAGCTGGTCAAACGTGGGATGCTTGCTTTGAATCATTGCTGAATGTAAGTTAGGAGCCCCAAGGGAGAAATGCTTTCTGATATACTGGGAAGCTGAGAAAGGAGCAGTAGGAAACTTCTGTTAAAATCTTCTCAGTGCCAGCTACTGTGGTCCTCTACTGCCTAACTATTTTCATAATGTTAGCTTATGGGAAGCAGAAAAATGCGTGTGTGGATATTAAGAAGTTGTAACGTGAAGATATGTAAGGAGCTCGGTCCTGAATCAAGCCCTCTTCTCCATCGCCCCTTTCTACTTCCCAGGCAGGGAATGTTTTACAGAAATTTACTCTTGAAATGTTGTGTCCTCTGCTCTAGGAGGATCGGATGGATCAAGGCTATATGACTGTGTCTGGAGATACAATTCCAGTGTGAACGAGTGGACAGAAGTGTCTCCAATGTTGAAAGCAAGAGAATACCACAGCTCTACAGTCCTGGATGGGCTGCTGTACGTTATCGCCTCCGACAGCACAGAGCGCTATGACCACTCCGTGGATACCTGGGAGGCTCTGCAGCCCATGCTGTACCCGATGGACAACTGCTCCACCACGTCGTGCCGTGGCAAGCTGTTTGCTATAGGCTCCCTGGCTGGCAAAGAGTCCATGGTTATGCAGTGCTACGATCCCGACAGCGATCTCTGGTCCCTCGTGAACTGTGGTCACCTGCCTCCGTGGTCATTTGCACCGAAGACTGTAACTCTTAATGGGCTCATGTACTTTATAAGGTAAGTGGTGCAGATGATTGCTTCCCTTCCTGCTCCCCGTTCCGCGCCAGGTAAAATGTGTTTTTTCCCCAGGAAGGTATTTGGATTTTTGCAGACGGTCAAAGGAGAATGCTGTGTTGAGAAAGCAAGGCAGCGCTTCCTTTGCTGATTCAGTGAGCTCTATAAACTGCCGCAGTTCTGCCGTAGCTAAACCTCAACGACTACACTTGAAATGATGTAAAAATGTCTGAATTTGAACCCACGGTTGGGCTACAGTCAGAGTTGCAACCTGGTGTAAGTCAGCAGTTCTGCTTTGAAATAGACTTTTCAGTTTTGTTGACTTCTATTTCAGTCCTGTTGTTGCTATAAATAAGCAAGCAAGCTCTAGGAAAACGTTAAATTGTAGAGCATGAGAGTCCTCCGTGTGAGTAGAGATAAGAGGACTGGAGATGAAATGACTGGTCACTATTTTTAAGCACCTTTCCAAACCGGAACTTAATTACCCGTATGGCTCAAATACTTAAGTTATCCACTTAATTAAAAATAAATGGAAAGGTATGCTAGCACTGAAGCATCGGCGTGCTGACTTTGAGCAAACATAAGCTTCTGATAGACTCCAAACGGTTTTTTTTAATCTCTTCTTGGGCAGCAAGTTCTAAGACCTTTATTTGCTGCAGTTAGGTTCGTTCTCGCTCAGCCAAACGTCTTGGTTCCTGGCACTTGCTGGCAGACAGTGGTTCGAGTTGCTCAGTTTTCAGCAAATACTGGGAAGGGTGTTTTAACTGTTTTGATCATAAGCCAGTTTTGTTTGATTTTTTTTTTTTTGATACTGAACATTGAACTTTCAGGATTTCTGAACAGTTACGCATCTGCAGGAATTAATAAGACATTTGCCTTTACCAGTTTTTTTCTCCCCTCGGTTCAGACGCTGCAGGTGGAGTGCCTCTCTGATGTCTGCAGTCATATAAAGCTGTAAGACAATCCTTGCAGGACGGAGGAATGGATTATTAATGAAAGATGCAAACTCATTTTTTGTTTAGTTTACAATAGTTTGTGCTAAAGCGTCTGACTTACAATCCCCTCTTGTGGGCCTAGTTTTATAGCTATAAATACAGCATTGCAGCAGGGCTTCGTTCTTCAGTTACCTCTTTATTAGAGCTGACCTTGAGACAGGAGAGGATGTCCCGTCCTGACTGTCAACCAGTGCCTGGAACTGTGTGCTAGGAGTTTTGCTAGTTTCCCTTCCAGGCCATCTGTGTTTTCACTTTCATCCTGACAAGTATTCGACTTGCCTGATGCTATTAGTTACAGGAAGCGTTGTAAACAGCAGTAATTCTTCCCTGCACAAATGGCTTGGCAGCAGGGTTTCTGCTTCCAAGAGGTGTGTCCCAAAGTAAGTATCAGATCCTCATTTTGGTGCGAGCAGTCCTAAGGGAAGGAAGGCTGTTTTTCTGTAGCTCCCTCAGGACTTGAAACGCTTATTTACATGTGCCCACGTGAAAGATGTTTCATTCAGATGAATATCTATGGAATTACAGATACCTATCGGATCTGAGTCACTTCACAAAAGTAACTCAAAGTAAAGAAACTGGCTTTAAAGCATTTATCCTATAGGGATATTTGTTCAGAGTGCAATAAAAAGACCCACAGCCCACATATCTCAGCTCTGCTCTAGTCTTAGCAGATGGAGTTCTAGATGTAATGCTTTGCTATACAGATATTGCTACTGTAGGTGAGATTTTTCTCGTTCATTTTCACTTCCCCTCCCTTTTATTCTGGTTCATGCTAAGTGATCTATAGTGATACCTTGTCACCAGCAGAATACAAGAGAATGCATGAAATTATAATACAAAGACAAAAGATAACATTTGAATATGATTGTTTTTATATTTTTCTCCTGTAAATCATAAATCAGATCTTTCATAAAATGAACTTGCAGCCATAGACCAGCTGACTCTAGAAGAGGTGCCTATGACTCTTGAAAGTCAGTCCTGTTAACTAAATTAAAGAAGTAGAGAAACTAAATTGAAATCCATTGCTGGATTCCATGGCTGAATCCATTAAAATGAAAACTCAGATTGATCAGCAGTTGAAGGATAAAGTAAAAGTTTCTACCTCTTCATAGTTTTTCAAATCCATTTGTAACATGACTGTCTTGGACTGAGTTACAGCACTTCTTTGGCTGCTCTGACCTTGTCCCTTCCACATTCTTGTGTCAGCAACAGCACATTTCTGTGTCACAAACATCCCTCACCTGTCGCTGTCGCACTCCCGTCTTGCAAGTGGAACGGGTAAAAGAAGCCTTGTGGGATTACGCTGCTTCTGTGAGCTCTTCTGTTACAGGCCTCTGGCCCATCTAAATTTGGCACTGGCTAAAAACCTCCAGCAGTAGGGAGCCCCGTTTGTTTTAGGTATATAGAGGGTTTAAGCCTCTCTGGAGCAGCAGATTTTTCTTCCAGACTCTTAAGCGTTTGGTACGAAAGTCAGATTGGTCTATAAAATGCCGGCTTGCAGAAATTGAGCCTGCAATTAACACGTCTACCACAGATGCAGGTTTAGAAAAGACTAGATTTGAAAAAGCGCTCGGGACTGCGCATCAGCCCTCAGCCCGGCAGTGGCACGTGCTGCACGCTGGACTCAGTGCTGCTTGCGATCCAGAGTGACTCACCTTGCCATCTCGGGCAGGAGCGAGCATCTCTTAGGGAGGTGGAAAAACAGTGTGATGCTGTAAGCTTGCTCTGTCTCCATTCGCCTTGGCTGCCTCAGCTGACTAGGTAGTGTCTTAAAACTCAGCCCATGCCAGAAAGTATAAAAAGAGTATCATTTTGACTGTGGAGAAGCATCCAGGCTCTTTGGATGCGTATCACTAGCACTGAGAACTGGAGAAGGCTGCCTGTGTTTAATATGTGGTCGAGGCACGATGTCTTTGCCAGACCCATTTCACCTCTTTGTAGAGGTGAGGCAAAGAGATCTAGTGGTTTTCTGAGGTTGAACATCAGTGCTGGCATATAAGGAGCCAATCCTGGAGGCTGGGGTCTGCGCTAAGGCCTGTGCCTTCGTGCAAGTACCTTTTGGTCTTAGCGTTTCTGTTCCCATCGAGCTATGTAAATAGGCAGCACTTCAGGCCATGTCTCAAACAGTTGGATTGGAGGCTTCACAAGGCAAGTCGTTTTTAGAACATAAAATGATCGTCTTGCATTATCTCCTGCAGAGATGACTCCGCTGAAGTGGATGTTTACAACCCAGTGAAGAATGAATGGGATAAAATCCCTGCCATGCTTCAGGTAGGATGCTTACCAGCCTGCTTGGTGCTTGTCAGTGTTAAAAAGTGGCTTAATTTACCTTGGGAAAACAACGTTCTGTTTAGCACATGGAGTGTATTTAAGCATACTGTGGTTACCCAGGCGAAAAAATCCTGGACTCAGATGACACAGAGCAGCCAAGTGTTCAGCCCAGCGTGCAACAGTGTGGCAAAGTTGGAAAAGTTCTGTTCTTTGTGGGTTTTGAACTGCCGCCTTTCTAGCGAGAGGCATGACTGTGTCAGCCCAGCCCGGCACCGCTTGCTTGTGCTGCCCGCTCCAGTAAGGGAGCGGCGGCAGTCACTGACTGCGCGTGTTGAGCAGGAGTCGGCAGCTGGTGAGCGCTGTGCCTGTTCCAAATCAGCAGTTGCAGGACTTTCACAGTGGGACAGTAACTGGCGTCTTTATCCTAGGTAAGACACCTACCTCACTGACCAAATCCTCCTTTGTTAATTATTGTATTTATGTATTTTGGGATTGTAGGTTCATGTCGGGGGGAGCGTGGCTGTACTAGGCGGAAAGCTCTACGTCTCTGGTGGCTACGATAACACGTTTGAACTCTCGGATGTCCTGGAAGCTTATGACCCAGAAACACGAACATGGAGCGTAGTGGGCCGACTTCCCGAGCCCACCTTCTGGCACGGCAGCGTCAGCATATTCCGACAGTTCATGCCAGAAACCACGCAGGAGGATGACGGCATCACGCTGGACAACACCATCAGCTTGAACAGGCAGCGCCAGAACCTTCATAACCAGAACCTTAATGAGCTACGTTAACAGGGGAACATACCGTCTCTGGCTTGACGTGAGTTCGTTATACGGAACCAGCGTTGCTTTGAGAGGAGGGGAGAGGTAAACTGGTGCTTGGAAACAAAAACATACTGACCAGTGGAGAGGGAGTAAAAATTCTGGAATTATTAAAATGCTGTAGTAGAAACGTAGTTGGCAGAAAGTGAGAGGCCTCTGGGTGCAGTGTTCCTCAGCCCTTTTCTGTGGAGGGAGAAGAGAAGGCGCAGCGTGATTCACAGAGAAGATCTGAGAGGTGAACTCTGAAGCAAACAATCACGTTAAATATCACTGAAGAATCACTTGCAGTTACAGCTTTTGGTCAGACACCTTTCACTAGAAACTCCTTCAGCCTGCAACACTTCACATTTGCTGCCAAATTCCTTTCTTCGTGGTTTCTTCCTACGGGGAAAAAAAAAAAAGAACAGAAGAAAACGGGCAGGACCAAACCCCCGATGGCTTGAGCGTGCTGCAGCGGGAGGGCTTTTTCTGGTAGGGCTAGAGTCTGGACCCACCGCTTCCTGTTCAGCGTTTCAGAGGAAGACAGACCTCCTGTGCCCACCTTCCTCTGTATGGCTTGAGGGGAAAACCCCTTCCTGTGAGAAGATAAAGCTCTGTTGTTGGTGAGAGGTTAATTCGAGAATAGAGCCCAGCCTATCGCATCACTGTAGTCTTTGATTCCTGTTCATACTTTCAAAGAGAGCATACATGTGCTTTTCCTGCTGCGTAGCCAGGATCTTACTGAGGCTAGGTTATGAAACTTCACACTTCCCATTGTCTGGCCTTGAATTCTTCAGGCATTTTGTTTTTTAAGTGGTAGCATTTTAAGTTTTTGCAGGTATTTGTTGCCTTACTTTCGAGGAGAATGACTTTTTTATTATTTAAGAAACACCTTCATCTATCTTTTAATCACATTGTCACAACTAGATTGTTTTCAGTTTTGATCACCCAAACTGCACTTTCCTTTAAGGAGGAGGGAGAAGGGGGGGGAAAGCAAATAGCCCTCTCAGCCGGAGTGTTGAGTGACTTCTGGGGGCGGGTAGCTTGTGCCAGGGTCCCTCAGCCTTTCTCCTCTCGCAGTTTTACAAAGCTTTTGTTTATATCAGGCTACTCGGCTGCTGGCTGAAGTTGGCAGAAAATTCCCTTGAGGCATGTTCTTGTGACTAAGGCTATTTGCTGTTGGTTCTTCTATATCAAGCTCTCGGCACATGCGTTGGGTTAGGCAGATCGGCCCTGCGTAGTAAGGGCATGTTTTTCCTTCTTCACCGTTTTAAAGGAACTACGTCAGAATTTTACTATTTTAGAAGTTACCTGGAAAGTGATAGGAAAGAAATATAGCACAGGTTCCTTAGGAAGTTCAGCACAGACTTACAGGGAAAAAAAAAGCTGGTGGTGATTAAGACACCTCGATAAAAAGAATTGCTTTGAGTTAATGCTCACGTAAGGGAACCTACTGAGCAGCTGGAGAGTTCTCACGCCTGTCTTGTTCTTCGGTTTGCAGAAGCGCTTTGCGTTTGACCAGTTGGAAAATGCTACTGAGGTAATTTGGTTAAGGTGTAGGAGTTTACAAGAGTGTTAGCAGATTAAAAGATAATGATTTTAGGTTTTCCTTTTGGGGGAGGGTGCTGTGTAAGATTTGCTTTTATACTTGCTCAAGTAACCTAGTTAGCTTGAGTTGTATTTCCTCTATTTATCTGGGGCAAGTGTGTTTCAGTTGAAGAGAAACTTTTTGCAGTTGACTTGTGGAATGTCTCTTGAACTAGAAAATGATTAAAATTGCAGTATGGCTCATCTGAAAACTGGTATTACACCTTCAGGAAAAAATGGAAGATGTAATAACAGCTGAGATGGTAGCTGGTTTTGTGCTTTTTTTTTTTTTCCCCCAGTAGAAGAAAATTATGAACCTAAACTTAATTCAGAAATGAGAAGCCCATACCATATACTTGATGGCGTACCTTCTAGCTTGCCACTGAACGGAGTACAGTCAGAACCCTATCTCCATAACAAGCAACATGTTCACAGCTTACAAAAAAAAAAAAAATGTTTTGCCTTGAATACTGTTTTATGCTAAGCTACTTAGCGGTGAAACTTGAGAAACTTGTTTGTGGAATTTGGGCTATTCTTAAAGTCTAAACCTTTGACAGTGCCTTGAAACTGTTACATGCTGGTAGGCTTCAGCCTGCTAAGGATCCAAGAGGAGACGGGCACAATAAAGGTGTCACTTGATAGATTCAGCAGTCTCTCATTGCTATTTCAGTTTCAAACTCCGTCCCTGAGGTGTCAGCTGCTGGAGGAGCCTTGTCTCCTGCGCGAGCAGAGGGGCTGAGGGTAAGAGCTGGCAGAGCCCCCTCCACGATGACGGCGCTGAGCGGGGCCCTGCGCAAGCGGGCAGCGTTTGGCCGCTCGACTGTTCAACCCAGCTGCAACGGTTCCCCTCTGAGAGTAACGGGGCAGAAAGTCCCACGGCTTCTCCCCGCTCCTTGGCTGGGGCGCAGGCCTGGCCGGGGAGGGCAGCAGTGCCCGAGGCGCTGAACGAGTTGGTGCGGGTCCTTCCTTTCTGAGAGTAATCGCCATGCCCCTGTCCACCTAAAACACCGAGCCGCTCTCTCCTCACGGAGCCTGGGCTTTGTCCCGCGTGGGGGAGAAATAGCAACGTGCTGCTAAGCATAGTGACACGCGAGTGCCCAAGTCCGCTTAAGATAGGGAGCTATGCTGCCTGTGTGTGTTGTACAGCTGAATTTGCATAGTAGACTAAAGTATTTATGCTGAACTATTAATAGTATGTATACTATGTCTCATACTGTAGTGCTCACTGGTGGATTTGTCATCCTGAATTCCCTGAACCAGCTGAATAATTATGGATTTGTATTTATTTTTTGTAAATTCATTGTGTCCAAATCTTTAAGTACTGTTTAAATACCATCCTTTGAAGCAAAGGCATTTTACATTTACAGATAATGTATTTTTATTCTCATAGTTTGTTTTTAAATTTACTTGAAACAGTCAAGTTAAATAAAACACGTTACATAAATATTTTTAACTTTTCAGTGGAAAAATTATTGGGATAAGTTGCTACTGCTTCGTTTCTCACTGTAGGCCTGGGGCACGTTTAAACTGAAGAGCTGCCTTGTTGGTGAGTATCAGAGGAAAAGCGCAGAGGGCACGGATATAATCTGAATGAGTGTGTGTACCCAGTAATATATGCGGTATGATATTCCCCTCCTGTGGGAATATTCAGGTTTTTCAGTACTTAAGAGTGACCCTGGCTCATATTAGTTCAGACAAATGCTACTTACAAAGATAAATTCCCACATCTCGAAAAGGACCTTAGAGAACCACCCACTTCCCTGAGAGAATGGTAACGTGTTTTCCATTATGTAACAGCTCAATTACTTCAACTGTGAGAAAATATGGAACAGCAGCATGCCTTTAATCTAGTAGAGAAACAGTAACACGTAGCAAAAAGCTTGACAAAGTAGAAATAAGGCACAAATTTAATTGAGGCAATAAGGCTTTTAGCAAGCGATTAAGGAAGAAGGCAGAGTCGCGCTGTCTCCTGGAAGGTATGCTTTAATCACAAGTTTCCAGACTCAAATTTAGAGCTAACTGAGCAAAGTAAGAACTAGCAATCTGAAAAAAATCAGAGGTGAGCCATCCATCCCGTCTGGTCACAGATGACAGCTTACTAAAAAGCAATTCACAGTATTACGTATATGGAGTCATCGATCACATCCAGTCTCATACACTGTACATACATTTAGCGTAAGTCGTAATTCCTAGTAGCTTTGTAATTGTTTCTTCATTTGATACCCGATTACAACGTCATTAGAAACGTTCCCTGCAACCTGATCTTTGTACAGGAGGAGAGAAGGGGGCTCGATGCAACTCAAAGCTTCTGAGGGCTGAAAAGACCAAGCATAGCAAAGAGTCATTCCAGCCTAATGCTTTATTGTCTTTCGGTAGGAAGGATGTATACAAAGAGTCACGTTATGTTTCACAGTCTTCAGGAATTGTTGTTGTTATGATAAGCGATTGTTCGATAACATCCGCTGTAGAGAAGTTCTCGTTTGAACAGAGTCTCTGCACAGGGACCTCCTCGGCCAGGGAGCCATGGGACAGGGACTCCACGATGACCTCGGCCGAGCCCACCTCCAGCTCCTGGGGCGGCTGCAGCGCCACCACCACGGCCTTCTCATCCTCGATGATCAGGTTTCGTAGCTTCCGCTGCCGCGGATTGTAGTTCTCAACCCGGTCGTGAATCTCCATGTGGCGCCTCAAGTGAGCCTTTAAAAGGAAGAGTAATGGACGGCCTAAAGCTCAGAGCTTTTTACTGAGGGGGAAAAAGGAAGAGTTGGACTGCAACGTCCATATGAAAGACTGGCAGAAGAGCAAGTGCCCACGAGAACAGCTTCCCAGAGCGGCCTCTGACAAGAAGCGGGTAACTCACTTCCTTGGCTGAAAAGCAGGTACGTGGTGTTACGGTTGAGTGCAGTGAGGGGCAGAGCCAAAGCGGCCAATGAAGAGAAAGTCCCCCCAGGTTTAAAGTGCCTGATGGGGCACCTTGCTTTTCTAAAGGGGGAAGCACAAGTCTCACACACACGAGGGAAAGGATGGCCTGCCTGGCCGAGCCGGGGGTCTTGATTTAGCATTGCACCCTCCTACTCTTCTGGCACTGCCTCGAGCCCTGCGAGCACCTGCTTCCCCCTTACGTGGGCTGTGCGCTTTCATTCCCAAAGAAATATGCTGTTTTACAGAATGGAATCTGCTTACTTCATTCATCACAGGTGAGCAACACTTCAGCTGTTTAACCGGCTACGCAATGTGGACATGCAGTGTATTTCACAGATGCCTCCGGAATTAGAAAAGTCATACCTGTCGCGTAAATTTGTAGCCACATTCAGTGCATTCAAACTTCCTCACTCCCTTGTGTCTGCGAACGTGGACACGCAGCTGTTCAACAGCTGAGAACAGAAGTTAGAAACTAGAAACCGTTCAAGACAGCACTATCAACAGAGCATTCCAGCTAAACAGCTGTGGGCCCAGGCTATACTAAGCGTTACTGGGGCAGGGATATACTCATAGTGCTGCCATTCCAAGGCACCGGAAAGGAGATTGTTTTGTTTGGTTGGTTGGTTGTTTTTTTGTTATGCTGAAGCCTGGAACTTGTCCGTTTTAAAAACTGGCCCATCTTTCCTCACCACCTAACTGCTCCCCTCTCAGAAGCGAGAATCGGGTCAGCTCTGTATCAGAAACAGACATAGGCATCGCTGGGAGAGATGGTGAAGGCGCCAGCTGAGATAGGGAAACAGTAGCTACGCTTCAGCTGTGCGAGAAAACGCGTATTCGGTGAATACGGACATTTATGGTACTGTGGCAGAAGACAATAGCACAGCGACTGCTAATGAGCAAAGAGCAGGTGTGGGGGTCTCCCTGTTCCTGCTCAGGACGCAGCAGCGTCGCTGCACTGGCTGTTACCTTTGAACGTTTTCCCACAGATCTGGCAGAAGTGGGGTCTTCCTTCTTGATGTCTGCTCGCGATGTGCCTCAGGAGGGGCCCTTTCTCCGTGAACCTCTGATCACAGAACTCGCAGCTGAAGGGGCGCTCCCCTGTGTGGGTCCGGTTGTGCTTGTCCAGGCTTGCTGCCGTGAACGGAGGGAGAGCGCGCGTGCTGCCGTCAGCTGTGCACCGAGTGCCCCCGCTCAGGTACGTACGACGCTGCAGCTAGGACTGCGCGGGCACGCTGCCATCAGTCTGTCCCAGGCTAGTTGTGAATGTTTGGGAGAGGTACAAGCAGGCGCCTGCTGGTCTAAGCTTACTGTTATGGGGAAAGGCATCAATTTCTTCCCCTTCTATGCTGTGCAGTAACAGAAAGAAAGGGAATGCTCTTTCTTGGGGTATTATCGCACGCTCGCCAGAGCATGCTTGCTGCACAGGGGAGGCAGGTAAGAAAACTGTTTTTTTCAGTACAGCTACTTCCTGAAGGTCCTGGCTACCAGCTGGGGTAGAGCAGCGCTCGCTATTCTGAGCGCAGCACTCTGCCTGCTCAGCACTGCTGGCACAGACGGGCCTCGGGGCGAGGCAGCTGTCACGGGGTGGGAAAGGGGCTGCAGTGACACAGCTCTGCGCGCCCAGGGGATACCTTGTGTCCTGAAAGTCTTGCCGCAGAGGTGACACTGGAACGGCTTCTCGCCGGTGTGCGTGCGCAGGTGCATGTTGAGGTTGGCTTTCTGGGTGAAGGCGTGATGGCAGAACTCACAAACATAGGGCCGCTCGTTTCTGAGGACAGGGAGAACATGTCTGATTCCTCCTGGACAGCTTCCAGTCAAAGAACTGTTTTCACTTGCACCTCTGTCTTTGTGAATTTCAGTCCCTGAAGTTAGTGGTTACCATCGTTCCAAAGTCCTTTAAGTAAACCTTACTTCTAACCCCTCTTAAGCCAAAGTATTGGCTCGCAAACGCTATTCTGCAGCTGGAGGCTCCCCTAGGCTCGGGCACTGGAGCCTCCTGCCCCTTGGGTGTTATGACCAGCCCAGGAAACGGACCACGTAAGGATGAGTATGGAGAGCAGCTGCTGACACATGCTCCTGACTTCAAGAACATTAATAACCTAGGCAGGAAAACAGCTGACGAGCTTCTCAGTCCTCGTCTACGTTATTAAGGTTACGCGTTCGGATGAAGTGCAGACAGCGTGGACTTCCTTTGGAAGACAGAAAAGGAGAACTAAACGTTGGCCCTTCACCATATTTCTGATAGAATTTTGGGCCTACCACTGCAAGGAAAGCTGGAGAGAGGCAAGGACCGCCTAGTTCATCTCGCAGATGCTGCAGAAGGCTTCCTGCAACCCACCCAGCAGGGCTCTTCGGGGAAGGAAGTACGGCTTGGAGTAAGGATGACATACGCGATGGAATGAATTGCGTCATACCTGTGCTTAGCCTTGATGTGCATCTGCAAGCCATTGCGACTCGAGGCTCTGTGCCCACACTCTTCACAGACAAACAGCTTCTCTCCCCGGTGCTTGAACGCCTCATGCAAGCGCAGCTCTGTCCGAGACAGAAAGCACTTGGAGCAGGTCGAGCACTGCAAGGCCACAGGAGAGGTCAGGGTTAGGCTCGCCCAGGCACGCTCCACCGCCCGCACAAGAACAAAGCGTGGCACGGGCCTGGCTGCTGGCAGAAAGCTCTTTGCACCACCCACTGCAAAGCGCACTGCGCAAGAGAGATCTGTTTGTTACTGCTGTTGTAGGAGCGTCCCTGCAGCTGACTGTTGCGGCACACCCAGCTCTGAGGTGCCTAGCGGGATGAGACAGCCTGACGAAAGGGAGCTGCTGGCCAATATTTGGGTCCATTAGAAAAAAAGGATGGCTGCTCCTTTACTCCAAAACACTTTCTTTCCAGTAGCTCTTCAGCACTCTGTAACTCCCTGCCCCGCTTAACAGAGCCAGAAAGGACAGCAGCCACCGTTCCCTAGGCCAGACATTAGCAAAGAACAATTCTCTCTCAAAATACCAACTCCGCTCACCCCACCTTGCACAAGCCAACTCTCCTTACCGCATGTGGTTTTGGTGCACCATGTAACTTTATCATATGACTCTGCAGGTCCTTCTTCTGCATGAACTGCTGTGCACAGGAGGAGCACTGAAATAAATGAGAAAAGAGTCAGCTTCTAGCCACCTCCATAACAGCGATTTCGACACAATTAGAAGACCGATGGCAGGCTTGTGCATCAGGCAGAGAGCGCTGTTCTGGTGCAGAACGCAAATCCCTGGTGAGGTCATGGGTGCCTGCAAAGCAGAGCCACAGGAAAAACTGGCCAGGTCTTGGTGTGTCCCTGGAGCGTGTTCTGGTTTGTTCACAGGGAAGGAACGCCCCTCGGCAGGGAGCCCTGCGCTGCAGGAGACAACTCAAGGGAGACAAGGGGAAAGGAACTGCTCCGGTTAGCTTCAGGATACAAAGTAAAGGCGGGCGTTATGAAGGAAAGAAGCCATGCCCACACGAAGCCGTGGGTGACAGCCCACAGACAGGCCGTGCCAGCCGAGCCATCTTGAGTCAGCACCACAACGCGAGGATACAACCCCCAGGACAACACCCGCTGGGCAGCACCAGGCTCTCCCCAAAATAGAAAGGCATGTTTGCTCAGACACCCCCCCCTCCTTCAGCGACCACGTCTAGCAGCTATTCATAGGGATGCTCAAAGGCAGGCGGTGCTGACCTTATACGGCATTTCCCCCGTGTGTGACACCATGTGCAGCCGCAATTCCATTCGCCTCTTAAATACCTCTTGGCAGACGGAACACGTGAAAACCTGCAAGAAAGGGGAAGGCATCAGCTTCTTCTGCAGAAGCAAGAAATAGGGAAGCCAGGAGTACAACACAAAGCCAGCAGCTAGCCCAGCCATGTACATCAGCGCTTGGCGTTCAAGAGCACTGGAGTTTGTTTAGAGCGTTGAACTTGTGGCTGCAGAAATTTGGATCTTTTACAAAGCAAAGAGTATTCTCACGTGCTCAGGAACCTCAGAACAAAAAGCGGCACAAAATTGGACAGCAACCCTGCACCAATGCGCCATGAACAACAGCCACTGCTACGCTCATCCCCAATGGACTGTCACCGGACTCAGGGGGAATCCCACCTGCAATATATGTGCTGTATGGTAGCAATAAGGTCATTTTTTTGTTCAGTAGCCAGCAGTGACTGGGCTGCACAGAGGCTCAACTTCACTTTCCGCAGAAAGGCAGGAACGCACAAAGCGCCTGCCGTTTGTCAGCAGTAGAGCCTTGGCTTGCTCTGAACAGCCACCTTTTGCTAGAAGACTTGCAATCCGCACGCTCCCTTCTTAACAAATCAGCACAGGACAATGGGTCATATCTGCTCCCTGAGCACAAATGAATATTACCGTTTCCTGGGACAAACTCCTTAATTTTCACAGTAGCGCACCTTTCAGCATCTTACTGTATTTGGACACACTGCAATGATCCCCAAAGCTGAGCCGCAGTGGACAGGCTGCTCCGAGGGCAGCAGAGGGAGGGCAGGGAGCACAGCAGCCGGCTACGGGCAGGCCACCTGCTCGAGCTGGCCCTCCGCAATGGAACTGCATCTGCAGCCCTCTCCTGCCCCCCCTTTAGGCACTGGCTGCTACTCCCCAAAGTACCTGCTCAGATCGGTTCATGCAATTCCTAGCTTCGTGTTCCAGCAGATTCTCTTTTCTAAAATAACATTTACCACATTTGGAACATTCAAATGGCTTTTCTCCAGTGTGTTTCCTACAAGGAATACAAACAAAGAGCATCCATTACTGCCAGTCTAATAGCAGAGAGCCGCTTCCCAGGCCCAGGTTAAGAAGCCGCTCGATCTCTAGTTACGCTCGCGGGGCCTGCCGCGTTACATCCTTCGTGCTCGGTGAGGAGGCTGACAAACCCATTTATTTCCAGTTAATCCCACGTGGCCTGTGGTTTGATGCTTCACTAACTGCCTCTTGTGAGGCTCCAGCCTGTTTCAGTGTTTAAAGCAGCTGCTCGAGAAACACTGTTCGCTTTGAAGAAGCTGCTCGGTTACAGGGAGAGGGGAGGACAATGAAGCTGTTATGAACTCCCACAGAGTCAGCATTTGCAGAACCGTCTCCAGGGGCTGGGAAGCGTCTTCTGAAAGCCTCCTTGAACGCCAGTTATGCTGATCCCGTGGCGTCCGAAAGCATCAGCACACCGAAGAGCTCTCAGACCACTCAGGTCTGCGTTCTCAGCGCAGCCGGGCTTGCGGTGCCCGCTGCGCTCCACTAACGTGCTGAGTTGTGAAGCCTCAGACAATTGCAAACAACTACGGTTTGCCCTTCACAGATAAAGCTGGATCTCGTGCCTATCCCTGCAATAACGGACAACCCCCGTTCTGGTCTGAAGCACCACACAAGGCTCTGCTTGTTGCTCACACAGCTGTGGGCTCAATTCCTTCATTGTACGTGCTCTTTTGAAAGCTAGGAAGTTTGGAGAGCTTGATGTGTGGTTCTTGCCCAAAGCCCCAAGAGCTGGCAGCTCCTCCACGCTTCAATACCATTAATCTGCAGCCACCGCGCCCCTAAAAGAGCCTCTAAGCCCCTTCCTCCTGCACTTTCTGAGCAGTACCGGCACTAGGCTGTTCTCAAACCCATGTGAGCAGAAGCCTGAGAGGGTTCTCGTGGCTCTCAGAACCATTCTGGACACCTGTAAATCCCACCCAGGTCAAGGACGGGAGTGCCCCTCCGACAGTGGTGACCGAGTGTCCCAGCGGGTGCTGAGGAGATGCACCTCAAGAGCAGCAGGCACAGGTTGGGTCAGGGGACCTCACCTTCAGTCCCAGCAGAAATTGAGGCTTTTAAATCAGCCATCTGCAACCAGGACCATTTACCCAAACCACCCGCCAAAAAGCGCAGGGGAACTGGCAGACCAAGTGCCCAGGAGTGCTGGGCTGAGGGTCTCACCCCGAACAGCTACGTCCAGGTCAGAGCCTCCCGGGGCGGGGGGCTGCGAGGCGGAGCACGCTCGCTGCCGGCTCCCAAACGCAAGGCCGAGCTCGGAAACGAGCCGGAACTTGGGTACGCGGCGCTACGGCTCGGGCCGGCCCCGCCCCGGCGGGAGACGGGCACCGCAGGCGCAAGTCCCTACGAACAAGAGGTACAGGAATAAAAATCAGAACGTTTACCTGTTGTGTACTTTTAGATAATATTTGCTGAGGAACGTTTTATGACATGTGGGGCATTCAACCGGCACAGCTGTACCTTTTCTGCTCCCCGGCGTCCCCGCCTCGAGCAGTTCCGGCTTCCCGGCCCTCTCGGAACTGCCGGGCTTTTTCCCCGAGTTTGGTTTCTTTTTGGTCCTCGGGGGCTTTTTCTCGGGAACGTAGTCGGCGTCGCTGTCCCCCTGCCCGCCTTCG